ACTAACGTGTGATTTACAACATAAATGAGTTGATAATCCTCATATATACTCAGACAACTGAACATTGTCATGGTCAGTTTATAGTTGAGAGAAGTCAGAGGCACAGCAAAGACAAGTGAGATGCCCAAGGTCACACATGGATAAAATAGAAGAAAATGCAGAGCACTGCTAAAGGAGGACATAGTCTGACTTAGGCACCCAGTGACTTAACTCTAAAGCAAATGCCTAAGTCTCTTACGTAGTAAATAAAATTAGTTGGTGCCTGTCAGGAGCTTCAGAAGAAGATCTGGTACCCCTACATTTAGATATCCAAGTTAGATCAGATAGGGAATTTAGACATCTGTTTTGGAAGCACTGCTTTATGAATCTGGGGCAAGTGAGGTAACCCAGCTCTATTTTGTTTGGAGCATCAATTTGGGTTTTTGGGTTTGTTTTTTTTTTGGGAGGGGTGTGAGGTGTGAAAATACAGGTTCCTTCCTAATAAACCCTGGTGAGCTGCAATACCCCCTGCATGATGACAGAAGATGATGTTAACACTTTGAAACATTTATATTCTGTAAATGGTATTCCTGTTTCTAACAAGTTAGATTGGAACAGCTGGATCCTTAACAAATTTTAAGGGTGCCTGTTAGGGAAACGGAGTACCTGAGTCCTGACACTGGGAAAGGCTGATTTTCCCCAGTTCCAAGCCATCTCATCATCGCAGACAAGGATTCCTCTTAATATATGAAGCACAGTGTATTCAGAGCTTGGGAGCTTTAAGGTGAGGTTGTTGAAGATGTCCATAAACTGGGAGAGTGGGCAATTCATTGTGAATGGCTTCAAATAGGATGGCAAATATCTCCTTCGAGTGTCTGACCAGCAAACACCGCAGTCAGATACAGAGCGAGTCAGATGTTTTAAACACCATTCTGCATTTTATTAGCTGCTGCAAACTACTTTCCACAACACAATTATGTTCCTGCAATAAGGGGAATGGAAAAATCTAGTCCCTTTGCTACCAGCTTAAGGACTTGAAAACTGTCTTTAATGAAACCTCTCCCAGCCTGTCCCATCTGAGCACGTGTGTCAGCCTGTTTCATAACTTCCGGCTGATGCTACCGAGAGCAACGGCCGCTTCTGGCAGCTGCCTTGTACTGTTACTGCTGCATCTGCTGTTCATACTCAAACCTCATCAGCTGTTCCAGAAATATATGCTGTTTTAATAGTTCCTGGTCACTCACAAACGCTCTCTGGATTCTTACTTTGTAAATGTGCCAGGAAAGAGAACATTTGCCTGCAAGTTGAAGAGCCTCAGAAACTTATTGTAGTTGGGAGTCTTGAGTGTGACCTGTGACACAGAGTAAAACAAGTCTCTTGGGTCTAGTAAGTTTATCCAAACCCAGTAAAAGTTTGAGCAACTTTATTAATGATAACATTGAACATCTTGTTTAAAGTCTCTGCTGGCAATTAGCTAGACCAAAGAAATGGATGGGGAGTGGACGCATGTATAAAGCCATTTTCTGTAAAATAAATACATAAATGACCTCAACTGCAGAGAAGAGATTATCTGTTGTGGCTTATGTATGCAATCTGTCTCCTGTGAGTCAAGAAACTGGTGTTTAGCTTGGAGTCCAACTCCAAATTCTTCACCATAAACACTGGGCAAGCACTCATCAAGCTTCCTGAAGGGACAAACCTCACTAATCCACACACTCTATAGCTCATTCAAAGCAGCAAACAAGGAGCTGGAGGGAGCAAGAGGCAACACTGATTGATTATTTCGGAGTGGCTCTGGATAAAAATGCTTAAGTGAGTCAGGTGCTACCACCCACTTAGCAGATGTCTACATCACATTCGAAATTTGGGGTTAGGTGAGTATTTTGGTAAATTCTGTACGCATGAAGTAATGAAGAAACGTAAGAAAGTAACGCAGACTACACAAATTATCAACATAAAGAATCAAGTTACATTTTACCATAAATGTCTTTATTTTTGTTATTGGAGTTGTGTACTTTTTCATAAAAGGTATCAATCTAGCAAAACACTTGAACATGAGTCAGAGTCATTGAAGCTAGCAGGATTACTCGCGTGGTGAGAATTAAGCACAAATGTGAATGACAGAGATTAGGTGCTACTGCATACAGTCAATTCATCTGTGATAGGTTTCCCAAAAAGTCTAAAACAGTCTAAAATAGGCAAGATAGGCAAGACCACACTGTTTTCATGGGAAGTTGGCACATCTGGACTATAAGCACTTTTGACACTCTTTGCCTGGGGTCACGGTGAACACTACGGGCTTCAGAGGAGTTGGATTCTCATTGTGTGTAAGATCTGCTCCTCTTAGGAAATACAGCTGTGAAAACTACACCAGTGGTTTTTTTTGCAATGAACAGAGTAGCAAATTTTGAGATCTCAGCCTTACGGTAACAGCTTCTAGGAGGAAGGTAGCAATTGAATCAATATGGTTTTGATCATCTTAGAGAAAATCCATTTAAGAAAATCGTAAGGCATTATCTTGCAGTAGATCTGGTCATCACTGACCAGATCGAATCTCAGTTTAGGTCTTAATGCAGTCAGTAGGATTTATTATAACGGATTAACATTTGTATAAAAGGCATACACAAGTCAAGTACAAGTATTGCTAAATTAATTCCTCATACAAAGTATACGAATAATACACTGTAAACAACTGCTTCTCATAGGTGCTTCAGTTTCCAGGCTTTAATAGTTGCTTGTCATCTTTGGTTAATGCAAGATTTTTTCTGTCTCAGGAGATCCACTACAACAGCTGAACTTTTACAAACCGAGTCCTTGCTCGATTACCTGATTCCATGTACTTTGAAAAACAAACATTTTCTTCAACCAGATCAACGTGTAAACCAAAACAATCAAGTGAACTGTATTTTCTACATTGCTAACATGCAAACATGTGCATATGTGTATATACGTGTACATATACATGTCTCCACTTATGTGAACACACATCCCCTCACCTTGCCCCAGGGAGCACCTAGGCCAACAGATGCTAACACATGCCAACATCTGGGGGCTGTTTAAACACAGACAGACACACACAGCTATGGATTTCCAAAGGTGAGCACAAGAATTGTTCTGGTCATGACTGAATATGGCCTTGTAGAAAGAAGGAAAGTTCCATGACTTTCCAATAAACAGAATCAGTTGCACAGGCACGGTCCCCTCACTTTGAAGGTATCTGGCTCCTCCTCGTGCTGCTGCAACTGTGGTCTCAACATTCCTGCCTCAGGTATCAGTATCTGTTCCATTACACGTCAGTGTAATCTGAAAATCCACTGGCTAGTCTCAAAAGCTAAACCAGTTTCTGATGCAAAGAAGGTCACTTAAATCCACCAGCTGTCTGCAGGTTTAAAAACTAGTCTAAAACATCCAGAAACTGAATTGTATTACAAATTGCTCTAAATAATACTGAAAGATTCAATGGGGATTTAGAGAGAAGTAGAAGGTGTGTATATAATTGTGTGAGAAAAGTAAGGAATGCATCGGTCTTTCTGTATCACACAGAACGCTCTCCAGTACCATTCTCACCAGTACCGCATTAAATCTGTTAATAAATTATGTAAGTTAGATACCCAGTGCATCATCTAAATTCACCTGTCTGCAAAGGCAGGACTTCCCCTGACTATATTCTGTAGTGTTTTGTTTATTTATACATGTCTCCATGAACTCCACAGAGAGTGGAGTTTCACAGGTTTGTGGCTAGAAAGCTCCTGATGACACTTGGCTCTGTTCCCCTTACTCACATTATTTTCATTTTGAGCTGTTTCCTGTAACAACTGTTATCACAACTGCTAGGATGTTCTTTTTTCTAGTTTGTTTGCTATCTGTAAAGGGGAGGGATGAACCAATGTGAGGAACAGTGTACCTGTCAGCAACCTGCTATAGCAAGGATCTGGTTCTCAACACTAACATTCCATGCCGTTCCATGGGTGCAACCATGGCAGAATAATAGCCATTTTCTCACAGTGGACTTTTAGCTTATTTGTGGCTTAGTAGAAAATTTCATACTTCAGTCCTCAGAGCAAAGGACTGAAATCTAGGCAAGCATCAAAACTGGTTTAATTCTTTAAAGGTGCTGAGAAAGCACTGTGCTCATGGACTCTGTTAGGAGAGCTAGCCCATAGGTATATATGGATTCTGCAATCCATTCTAACCTTTTAATACTGGCACTTTTGACCAGTGTCATTTACCTTCTCTACAGTCAAAATGACACACTTGGCCATGTTCCAGACAAGACCTTCACACATACTTCCTCACTGAGCAGCCACAGTTACCTTATGGCATTTTTAATACCCTGTGGAGTCCTAGCAGCACCCTAAACCCCTTCTGAGACTTGGAGAAACTGCACAACTCACCTACACATCTCCCTTGTACCCATCCTGAACTCAGCCTGACCTCTGATTGATCACCAACACCACCTGACCTGGAGGAGACAACATTAGGGTTGTCCTGGGGCCCCGGGCTGTTCTGGCTGCCACACACCAGGCTTAAAGACATGGATGAGACACATGGAGAGGGACAGGTCTTTCACAGCATACCAGGGTCCATTGCCAGGATCCATCCACAGGAGGATTTTTATCCATACAGCCCAGTATTTCTTCTAAAGCACACCAGCTGGGCTGCCCCAAACCCATCCCCAGCAGTTGTCCAGCAGGTGAGTGAGGTGGTAGTAACTCAGGTGCACTTGTAGCCAGTGAATCTAGTATCAGTGTCATCTAGAGTGCTAGCAGACAACAAATATTCCACCCTTTGCCAAGTCCTGCAGAGTCCTTAAGACACAGGATGAAGCTACATCATCACTGAATCAATAAAACTATACTTTGGACCAGCCAGTCTCTCTTTTAACTTTCTCTAAAATATCTTGATAGAAAACAAGCAATAATCTATAATAAACAGAAAAAAACCAGGACAGACTCTCTCACAAAAAATTACAAGTTCACAAAATAACTACATAGTTTTCTTGTTAATCACTGAATCCATATTTATAATTTGGTCAGATCATCCCGTAACCAGTCTGTAATCATGGCAGCCATCTCCTTGCTGGCATCTAGCACAAAGGCGTGGCGGAGCCCCTTCTCACAAAGTCGAATGTCCCCATCTGGAAAATCCATTTTGATCTCATCGTAGTAGTGCTGTGGACACCAACTGTCTCCAGTTCCATAGTAAAAAATCAGCTAGAAATCAAAGCATATCAAATCATTATTTGAAAAGTTATTGATGAAACAACCAATATCCAAAGAGCACTGAATTATTTGGAAATAAACGATGCTTCATGGCCCATGTTGTACTGTGAGGAACAGCACATTGGTACTTCTTGGTTGTTTCCAAGTCTGCAATTATGATGAAGCCAATTAAATGCTCTGCGACTCAGTTTCCTCATCTGTAAAACTGTGGAACACAATACAGGCTGAACTCTGAAAACAGATATCTGCTGATCAAAGCCTGGCTGTGTTAAGAAATCTGTTATTATGGATCAGAACATCCAGTTGTCCATGGAGTCCACCTCTAACCAGACAAGCTGCTGTGTTTTCCCTAGCTATTAGCTGTTTTCTGTGTTAGCTTTCCAGCCATTTCATCAAATAGCAAAATTACCAGTAAACTTGATGCTCTGTCCCAGCTGAAGGCGCTAACCCATTATGGCTTTCTTCTGGATATAAACTAAGAGAAAGTAGGAGGCTACTCAGCTCAGTCTTACTGGCATCTGGTAGGTGTGATCTCATACTACCTGCCCAGTTGGGGCCTTAGGTTAAGGAGCACCTATTTTTCTTAACCGTGGTGTTAGATGTAAACTACAGGTGATTCACTCAGCCATGTTAGAATAACAGCAATTAAGGTCATTCTCAGAAGCAAAACTTTTTTTGCTTGGAAAATTTTACAATAATAGAATCTGAGAATCATAGAATGGTTTGGGTTGGAAGGGACCTTTAAAGGTCATCTAGTCCAACCCCCCTGCAGTGAACAGGAACACCTTACACTGGATCAGGTTGCTCAGTGCCTCGTCCAACCTGACCTCGAATGCTTCCAGGGATGGGGCATCTACCACTTCTCTGGGCAACCTCTTCCAGTCTTTCACCACCCTCACTGTAAAAATTTTCTTACTCTATCTTATCTCTGTAAAGTGCTGCCCACGTAGAGCACAGGCACCTCCTGGAGATCAGTGAGCGATTTTCTTTTGGGTTCTAACGTGAAATGAAAATTCTACCAAAGTCCATTTTGTATTGACCTTGCCCTAATAACCTTGTTCAATGACATAAATGAAGCAGGTGCTACAGGGCCCAGCTAAACACAAAAGTCCTAAATTCCAGGCAAATATCATATTCAATGAAGTGTCTTTTCTCTCTGTTAGAAACACTGAATGTCACTCTTAAAAAAATCCCAAGTCATCATTTCCCCCCATTTTCATCTCACCTTTGCATGCTATAGCTATGTTTTTCAATTTCTGTGAAGTACTTGAAGGGAGAGTGGCTGTTGGTGAGAGAGTAAAAACCGATGGATTTAAAACTATACAGGAACAAGATTAATGATGAGGACACTCTATACTAAAAGGTCTGAATGCAGGTACCAGAAGGATGTTGATTGCTCAACATATCACACACACAGCTTGGCCCAACTCCGTTAGTCTCATTTGTTTCATATTTCATTTCTGTACTTCAGTGAATAATTGAGCAATGCTAACATAAATTAGGGGACAGGAAGTTTTCCTTTCATCACAAAAATCTTCAATTCCATCACTTTTGTAGCCATGTGGTATATAAATAAATGCACCCACTGGGGCAGAGTTGGGCTAAGAGCCCAGATTGCATTTCACAAAACTTTATAGGTTTTTGTCTAACTCACCTTTCTCTTCTTGAAGCATACCCAGATCTTGAACATTACTGACTACTGACCGTATCCAAAAACACAATATCTCAGTTGCATAGACACCAACTCAACTTATACTTCTATGTTTACATAAAACATAGAACATAAACCATCCCGTGTTAGCAAACATTATTGGTTTCCTTCGTCACTTACTAATTGCTGGAAACAAGGTATGTCATTTGCTTTAGCAGAAAATTTCTTCTGATCTTGTCTTTGATAATTAAATCACAGGATGTCACACTAGCAAAAATTCTTCAAAAAAAGCCAACGTAAAAATGTAAAACGGCCAGCTGCATTCAGGCTTTTTGAAAGCCAAACATCTGACCGAATTATGTTTAACCCTGGGCTCCGTTACCAACAGATACAAAAATACAGATTATGAAACTGAGGAAAAAAGAAATAGAGCAACTCCAGTTTAATGGAATAGTCCTTGAAATCATTAGATATTTTGATAGGCCAGTGGTAGAGTCTCATCACATGATCACTTAGAAAAAGATGAAAAGTCATTTACACTTACAAAGGTGGATGAAATACTTGGCTTAGTCTGTACTGTGAAATGGGCAGTTCTCCAGGTAGAGTTGTAAACTTGAGAACTCACAGATTTGGAAATGCCTAAACAAAAGATTTATGTGCATTCTTAGCTTGTTCTCTGGTATATCTGCATTATGGTTTAATCTTTCATTGCATGATCCAAAGGATCCTCGACTCGTTCAATCCACTGACAGGATGATGTTCAGCTGATGAGCTGCTATTTGATAGTATTTTTCTTCTTAAATTCTGTGTGTGGTCTGAGGATTTATTTACTACATATTTCATGGTTTACAGACAGAATTTATTTTCTTATGTGCATTCCTCTGGCACGCAGTACGACAGGATTTGCATGCTCACATTTAGTAATTTAGTTTTGCAACACCTTAGTGGCCATTTTTATCTCCATTTTGCAGATGGGGAGCACAGACATTAATGTCAAACTACATAAATTAATTTGAAAGTATGTAGTGTAGTCTGAAACACCTACAGCTGGTTTTCCAGTGTGTGTAGCATTCATTACACAGCATGCACTATGCTCAAAGGATAGCACTCCTGGACTTCATTTGCAAGTGCTCTGACACACTGTCCATCTGTCTGTAAAACAGCTTTCAAGGTCTTAAATGAGATATTCAGAAAAGTGAGGACAAACTGTGACTATTTATGAAAAATATTAATGTCTTCACCAACAGCCCATTCCTGGATGTGAAGTTTAGGTGCCTTTACCATGAAACGATCTATTTTTACTTCATATAATTCCCTGTTTCTTTCAACAGGATTCTGCCACAAATGAGATAGGAGTTCCGCATCCTGATGTCTCCCTCATTACACAGCTCTTTTGATTAATGAAAAAGGAAAAAGGAAAAGTGATGTTTTAATAGAAGACCACCTCTTAATGCATACATAAAAGGCATGTGAATTAAGATTGGTGTTCTCTAACTCTGAAATGCTTGGTAAGGCGATATTAACTGTGGGTTTAGCAGAGCTGTGTACACAGTCTGCTAGACTTCAAGGAGGTAGACCAAAACCCAGGTATTTTACATGTAGCACCTACATGTATCAGCGTTAGCATCTCTAGATCTGCTGCTTTAGGCCTCTGTCCCTTAAGATCATGGTGTAACTGAAGAAGGAGCACTGCCAGCCTCCGGCCAGAGGAACATGGGACACCTTCCTGCTGGAAGTCACACTGGAGGTGTCCAGTACAGAAATTCATGATTTAGTTTGGATCTATTGTGTATTTTTGAAGCAAATATCATGTTTGTCCAGATTTACCATACTTTGGTTTACATTGTGGAGTAGTCTTGGAGTGTATGAACTCCTTTCAACCAAAACTAAGATGGTCTTCAGGATCACACTTAGTGAGCTCCAGTCACTAATGGACATTCAGTCCATGGGAACCGACAACTCCTGGCTAAAGTAATAACCCTCTGAGAAGCCCACATTGGGAACACCAGGTCCTCATCATCTGCTATTTATCTCTACAAATTATCTTACATTCTGCTGCTCCTGTTTTTAAGGCAAACACAGTCAAAGGCACCTGCGGAGAACAGGAACGATAAGATTTTAGAAACTTAGGTTCCATTCCAAGCAGAAAAGGGCAAAATATTTACCAATTACTGACCTCGTGGTTCAGTTTTTTGTCCAGTCTTTCCAAGTGTGACTTCTTCTGTTTTGTCCCTTTCTGGTCTCAGGACTGCTCTACCCATCTTGGGCTCACTGCTTCAACTCTATTCTCCCTACCAAGTAACTTCCAATTTCCACTACTTCTGCTTCTTATTCTAGTCCCACATTCTTGCACCGACAAGTCCAAATTTTAGTCTTCTGGTTTCTTCATCCTGTTCTGAGTCTCAATTACAAACCTAGTTGCTCTTCCCCCCAGCAATTCTCCACTTTTTATCAGCTAGAACCTCTATTCCCAGACCTGCTCCTCAAATATCTCTGATACTACCAGTTGTTCCTAGTGTCAGGGTTAGGTTCAGTTCAGCATAAAAATGCCTAAATACAGATAAATGTACTGTGGTGTTTACATGTGCACCAAGCATCCAAATTCCCACCACACAGTCAGGAAAAATACACTCAATAAAGCCACTGATGCTTAGAAAGTGATTCAGTTGAAAGAGCAGGTGTCTACTGTAAGGTGGGGGAAGCTGCACTTCAGATGCCACTACAAACTAGTTTTCCTAAGTGTAGGAAAGTCCTAAGTCCTACTGTCATTTGAGATGCCTTAGATATCTGAGGCATCAGCATGAGACTGGCAGGTATGACAGATTTTATAGGAGACTCACAACTTTCTGGCAAAACAGCTGGAAGCCAGATGGGAATATTCTACAGTGCCCAAAATTAAACCAGATGCCCATATTTAAGGGTCAAATTCCACCTTGACTTCTTCAGTAGATTTTTATTTACTCTAATTGTGTCATCTGCACCTCTAACACCTACTGCTCCTGTAGATTCCTACAAGCAAACTCGGAAAGCATGATTCAGGTGCCCACACATAAATATCTTGTAGTGTTAGGTTAATGGTTGGACCCAGTGATCTTAAGGGTCTTCTCCAACCTAAATTATTTTACGATCTCATGCAACTTAAGATTATACACTAGCATATCCTGTTTGGTCTCCACTGCTGCTACAGGCAGCTCATGTGTCTCACGTGCCAGTCTTGCTTGGATAGCTCAAATTCACCACCTCATATAGCATCAGAAGCCTATCTTTGGCCAAACAAATGGAGGCCTTGGTTCTTCCTGCCTCCTCCTCTCTGTTTACCCCTCACTCACTAGTTCCTGCT